GGGGGAGAGCTCGTCAGGTACCTAGGGGGTAGTGACACCACTGTTTGCAGTCATATCCAATGGGTTCAAAATCTTATTCCATAATATAACATCGTAAGAGCACGCATAACTCATAACACCCGAGACGCGAAGCGTTTCAGGGGTTGGACCGGGTAGCGGTCAGGGGCCTAATATGATAATAATAACAATATCATAATATCATATTTGTAAGTGCACTGAAGTTTCCTTGACAACTTAATACACAGCGTCCATCAGGGTGGAAACGAGGGATTTGTGGAAGTCATAATCAATAACGACGCGACGGCTAGAACTTTGAGAGGATGAAATTTGGAAAAATGAGAGAAGGGTCCAGCCGAGTGGTTCCAGTTCTTGGAAAAATGAGGGAATCACGGACCCCTAGGGCACAGTGTTCGTTTGTTCTTATGGTACAATATCACTTTTATCTCCTTTTATTTTTGAGTTTCCAAGGGGAAGAAATCTTGTCATCATCCGCCAGTGTCATTCATAATTATTTGCGTAGTATCAATAATAAGCCTCTTTTTAATGAGCAACTTGACCTGCATCGATTTTGGTTCTTTTGTGTGCGCGGAAAGTTAGAGCTTACTGTTTCTAATATGAACTTAAACTCCTTACTATTCAGTTGATTTTGGACTCATTAAAGCGCATTTTTGTTTAAATTGTGACTTATGAAAGTATCGTGTAACAGAAACTCTATTTCAGCAAACTTTCGCCCTAAGCGCACTTCTATTTCAACGGGTTCTATCGTATCTTTATCGTGAGGTTTCAACATGTCCGCTCCCACTTCATTGTCTTTTTCTAAAAATAAGAACGAGCCAAATTTCGATAGCCAAATTGCGGAACCGCGTACTTTTCTCCATTTGTGACGTTGCAGACCTCCTGCCACATTTTATTTTTCCCTCGAAAAATTAGTCAACAAAATGTCTTGAAAACTTACTTGAATTTTCTTTCTGGGTGGCAGAATATTTTGTGTAAATCTAAAGCTGTAAAGTTGGCTTGTTTCTCTTCGACAAAAATAATTTCGGAGCGGAAATTTTGAAACATCGCGACGGGAACACCTGGTTTCCGACATTGGTCATCGATTTGCAGCTTAAAATTTTCTCATATTAAATATTACTGGACGAAATGGGAAATACACGGATGTTTAATGCGTTACGTTGATTAAATTACTGATTAAAAAATTAAGAATACGACATTACGGAAAAAGAGTGCTAGGGGTTAACCCCGAAATTTATGGCACTATCCCAATGGACCACTAGATAAGGCACGAATTTCAGCATTCCGATACATGTTTTTTAACCAAAACTTCACGAAAAACACGATGCACACAACGAAAATTACCGAAATCAACTCCTTATGAAGATATTTAATGATTCTTGATGCGTGAATTCAAACCAGCCGCTCACGAAAACTCAACGCTTTACGTGATTCACATCGCGCGCTAAACGTTATCATGACAGTCTCTACGATGTACAAATCTGGCAACCTCAATCTTGACGCTTTGGCTCAGCTATAGCAAATTACTTATAGTTTGAAAAACACATGATGGGACATGAACATTGCTCGACTGAGAACCTTGCTGAAACCGTTGTAATGCGCGATTTGATTGACGTAGAGCTTTGAGTTTCTTGTGAGCGGGCAGTTCAAATCCTCGTAACTGATGTGAAATAAAAACGTTAATATCTTCGCTAAGAGTTGGTTTCAATAAATTTTGTTGCACGAATCGTATTCTACGTGAAATTTTGGTTCAGAAACATGTATTAGAATGCTAAAATTCGTACCCTGTCTATTGGTCCATTAATTTTGATAGTAACGCAACTCAAGAGGGGGTAGTAACGCAACTTTTGGGTCAGTAACGTAATTTATCGGGGCACTACCACAGTTGATTGGAACAGTCCAAGTTGGGACTGAACCCCTACTTTTTCTCTCCCATTATTGCTCGTAAGTCTAAAAGATTACAGAAATTAGGAGGCCGTCGATTAATTTCGAACGGATGTAAATTGACGATAATCTACTCACCCTCTTTTATCTCATCCTCGGAGTACAACAAACGAGACACATTATCACTAAAAAAATGTCCATCGTCCGGTTGATGATCGCTGATCCTTTGCTCATCGTCCCCCGGTGCAATGACGACTCCCTGCTCCAGAGCTTCTAACCGGATCAGTAGAGGTTGTAGTAGTATGCAAACGCCCATAAAATGTTTGCTGACCATCTCTCAGAACAGATATAATACACGTTCCCTGATTCACGCGCTGACAAAACTGCAGCGTACTGTCTATGCCACCATCCAAAATACAGCACGGGCAAAAAATTCAATTGACACGGGACAGGGAAAAGTCAAACGCTAACTTTTTACGGATTTTTCTCGGTGTTTCTTTCTCCTCGCTTCATTTGCGCGTTCGAAGCCGTTTCGGAATACTACTGCCGCACATAGAGCAGGAACATTTTTGGTTTTTTGCGACACCCCCATGAGCTCACTTTGGCAGTCTGGATACACGCCATAATGCCAGCAGAAGTGATTCTAGTGACGCATTTTTTGTCGCAAAAAATGAAAGAAAAAAATCTCTTGTGAGCACACTCACTCGACACACTCGAGTAGCAGTACTGTCGTCAAAGCAGCAATGCCATTTTTAGATTTTAAATGTATTTTCATTTTTTCCTCAAAAAATAATCTATACCACAAGGAATATAAATAAACATTCATTATTTATGTGTGATTTTGTCATAACATAGGTAATTTCAAGTGAAAAAGAATGCAAAATGATGATCTTTAAGTGCCGAATCATCATTCATTTCAATGATTTGGAGGGTCAAAGATTAAATGGTTTCTCAAGAAAAACCATTTTTTTTTTTTAAATTAGGTTAACAAATATTTTAAACGGAGATAAAATGGCAGTTAAACCATACAAATGACGTCATTTGTATGTTCGTAATTTAATCAAAGTTAATTTTAAATACTCGTATCTAGTTAAGGAGTCGATTTCCAGGATTTTCGTTGTTCGATTCGTGTTTCACGTGAAATTTTGAATGCTTGGTTACATAGGTACTTCGGCTATACTGCCGTGCTAAGAAAGAACGCCGTATGAACATTCGAGAGTTGCCAATTTGCCCTTGATAAAAAATGTATTTTTGACGACATTCATGCATATTTTTCTTTGAATATTTTAGATATTTTAGATTAAATTGCGTACTACATTTTCTGAAAATTTTGGAAAATAATGTTCACAATTTCCCCAGTAATTTCGGCTTATATCAGAGGAGACTTGGCAACGTCTGAAGGCGCATACGGCGTTCTTCCTTAGCACGGCAGTATATAGGCCCATTTTACAGGATATGAATTTGCTTGTCCCTGTTCATATTTTTCTGTGTAGAAACATATATGAGTCGTAATTTTCGGATCTTTTCAGCACAGGTTTAGCCGAATCGAGTTCTAGTTCTAAAGCCTGCCGGTCTTGAAAGGCATGTTAAGTGATAATTTTCACCATGTTCAGATGCTTTTCGAGAAGATTCATAGGATGTTTTTTTGAGAGCACCGTATATTTGAACAAATTCATCGCTGCGCATGGGAGAAAAATAGAGAAGAAATGGGCGGAGACCTCTATCTATCATCTGCGTAAGAGCATGGCGGTGCGATGGGGCTTAGGAAGGGGACATGTGCAAAACATGCACAACGACCTCGGAGAAAAATATGACTGACTCGAGGGAACGCACTGGATCGGATTACAGAACGACTTCTGTAGAAGAGAACAATGATCCTTGTCGAGAACCGCGGGAAATGCCGCATCGGCCATATGCTAACGGGTCCCTTTCTTGGTTATACTTTCATATTTTCAAAATTGCATGTATTATGTTGGCGTTGCCGTTTACGGAAATAAGGACCATAAGTGCAATGGAGATGTTGCATGTGTGAGGAATCTGCGATTTGACTGACGATTTGATTGCCCCTCGGACCCCCTTCCCCTCCGTGCTTAGGGCCCGGAACTTAAAACTTGTACCAGGGCTCGAGATGGGATGTTGCGAGCCTTCATGAAGGCTATTTCCATTTAAATCTTCCGTCACATTCATACGGCGCAATGATACAACTATTTGAACTCTCCGGAATGCGTGAGGTATCACGCCGCATTTGAAGGCGTTTTCAAAACAGCCAAGTTCCGTTATCGGAATAATCGTTTTGCATAGTTCATATTATTTTGTTTCCATTTTTAACCACTTGTTTAATTATAATCCTCCTATGAAAACCACCCATTTGCTAAATACAATTCTAGCTGGAGTGCACTTCAGCTATGCATTCACCACTGCAAAAATGTCAAAGGAAATCGACAGGCCCAGCGTGCATGGAGGCTATTTCCATTTAAACCTTCCGTCACATTCTTACGACGCTATGATACAACTATTTGAACTCTCCGGAATGCGTGAGGCATAACGCCGCATTTGAAGGCGTTTTCAAAACAGCCAAGTTCCGTTATCGGAATAATCGTTTTGTATAGTTCATATTCTTTTGTTATATTCCGTACGTATTTTGTATCTCCGTGCTTGGGGCCCGGACTTTAAAACTGGTACCAAGGCCCGAGGTGGAATGTGGCGGGCCTGGGTGCCTTTATCGCTATTCAAAAGGCATTCTCAGGGATGAAAAAAAATTGGGAATTTCGTTGAGGTACGTAAATGATACTCAACTGTCATTGAAAATTCATGAATTGAAAAAGTAACCCGGGGTCTGGAGTGTCCCGGAGGGATCAATCGTCTCATAAACGAATAACGTCGACGGGTTCTACTTGTCCTTACGTCATGCCCACGGGAACACGGACCGCCATCTATGGTTTTTGAAATAAATTCCTTCCTGTAAAGGGATATTGGGTCGCTCCATTATTTTAATTTCTCGGTACTGTGCTGGAGTAAATACTCGTGCGTTGGAGTTAAGAAGTACGTTTGGACTACATTTTACAATTCGGAGCTATAAAATTCTAGCCCGGTTTAAAAACAACGCATGCGCCATTAGTTTCCCTATGCACATAAGGATTTTTCAGAAGAGCCAAAATCTATAGTTCCAAATTGCAAAATGCAGTCCATTTTTGCTTAAATGGTATGATTCACATCAGGTCATTGCACTCTAACGCAGCAAAGAATTAATGAAATTCTTCGTCACTGTTCGCAACAATCGTGTTTTGAATTCAGCTCCGAAGGTGAATAATTCATACTGCTCAATTCTTGGAATGCAGCTGTAAAGCGATGAGCCTGACTGAAAAGCTGATCATAATGGAGAGACTTTCGAATTGTCTAAATTTTCATTTTTTGTCATGGTTATTTTTAGAACGAGCCGATCACCATGATTCTTCCATTCAACTCGCGGGTAAAAATCTGTACTGCGGGCCGATTATTGAAATTGATTGACAAAGCTGAAGACAAAGAAGACAAAAGAGGTTTGGAGCGATCCTATTGGTGGAAGCGGGTGATTGCAATGGACAAAGGAAGTAGGCAATAGACTAAGTAACGGCAACCCACGAGGGACCCGATAGTTAGTCCATCATTTTCTCCCTTAGTCTATAGGACTCACCCATTTTAACCAACAGGATAGCTCCAAACTCCCTATGTCTTCTTTGTCTATCGCTCTCAATAATCAGCCCAATGCCGTGTTACCAAAGAGGACCGTGCCGTTAGTACAAAAATGATGTTTTAAGAAAATGGGCTCAGTGTCGTCTGAACGGAAGAAGCCTCCTTCTTCTGTCAAATTTTAACCAAGTATCCGAAAGAATCTCAGAAATCGTTTGTATGATCAATAATCGATGAATTCTATTTTCATTAATGTGAGAAGGGCCCTTTTTATTTTATTTTTTTTTTTTTAGGTTGGGTGGTCAATGCATTCATTTAAAGGTGCCTTAACACTAGGCTAGAGTTAGGCAATATGACCATAAATGCCATCTCTGCATGATTACGAGGTTGCGTTTCAGACACACATCAACAAAATTTTAAGTCTGAAAATTTGCAGGAAAGGGCGCCATTTTACTCAATAACCCAATAAATACATGTCCCCGGGAGAACAATACCTATCATGATTGTTTCGTCTACAAAAAAACATTAATTTTTACCCGCTTACAGGTCTCGTTTTCAAACATACAAAGACAAATTTTACCGTTTTAGCTGAATCATAATGACTCTATCTACATTAGATTGGTCGAATTTCGATGATACCTCGACTTCGAAAATTTGAGCGGCTCGCGGCTTTCTTCGTAACATAGCAGTGTAAACAAGTTGGCTTTTCTTGAATACTTGAGGGTACGCCCCCTGACCGATTCGCGGTCCAACCCTCCGATCCGAGGTGTTCGTGTCTCAGGCATTGGGCGATACGCGTTACGCTTAAGAGTTTATATCATAGCGGAAGATAAGATTTAATAACTAGGTTTTATGCACTACCGTGCTAAGGAAGAACGCCGTATGAACATTCGAGAGTTGCCAAATTTCCCTGGATAAAGCATGTATTTAGGACGACATTCACGCATATTTACCCTTGAAATTTTCAGATATTTCAGATTCAATTTCGTGCGAAATTGTCTGAAAATTTTGGAGAAAAATATTTACAATTTTCCGAGTAAATTCTGTTTTTCTCGAAGGAAACTTGGTAACGTCTTAAGGCTCATACGGCGTTCTACCTTGCACTGGAAGAAAACACATTGGATCTAGAGTCCAGACTCTTAAAAACATCGACAAGAAAAAATACTCTTGATTCAATCAGATTTAAGCTTAAATCAAGAACCAAGCCTCTTAATTTGAGCGGATTTCCTTTTGACTTAAGCTTAAATCTGATTGAATCAAGAGTCCTTTTTCTTGTCAATGTTTTCAAGAGTCTGGACTCTAGATCCAATGTGTTTTTTTCCAGTGCTCATACGGCGTTCTTCCTTAACACGGCAGCACAGGCGCGAAGCGGGCGACGGAGAGTTGGGCCGCTCGGTGGCCGAGGAAGCACCGGCTGGTTCTAATAAAAGCTGACTCGCAGAGATGTGCTATTCTTTGTGTTTGGACAATAGGGCGGCCGTGTGACGGAAGAGAGTCGCAAGTGCGTTTCTTTGTGAGCCTTGGTTAGCACACGCTCTTATGCGTCTTGAAGCTCATCCCAGAATCCGCTTATTGCTCTTTTCTGTAACACGGTTGAAAGCGCGAACGCACGCGAGGCGTAACTGGATCTCTTCAATGAAACCGTTTTCGCGACTCTTCTTCTGTTGTCACTTGGAATTGAGCGAGCATCATCGCTTACGCTTAGTCGGTAAAACGGAACGTAAACATCCAAGGAATCGACTCGTCCTCGGGGACCCAAGCTGCCGTGCTAAGAAAAAACGCTGTATGAGCCTTCAGGCGTTGCCAAATTTCCCCTGGCAAATCACTGATTTTCAGAAAAATTGTTGAATATTTGTCTACCAATTTTTCAGATAATGTTGTTTGTAATTTGATCTAAAATTTCGGAAAATTTCAAGGAAAAATATTCATAATTTTCCTCCAGAATAAATATTTCATCGACGGAAATTTGGCAACTCTCAAATGCTCATACGGCGTTCTTCCTTAGCACGGCAGCAAGCACCTTCCTTCTTCCTGGCTCTCATTCCGTTGCCGAGTT